CTATCTCACCCAAATATTACTCTCTAGGTTGGTATCTGCTATCTCACCCAAATATTACTCTCTAGGTTGGTATCTGCTATCTCACCCAAATATTACTCTCTAGGTTGGTATCTACTATCTTATCCAAATGTTACTCTCTACAACAATATTCTCTCTAGGTTGGTTTCACCTATCTCACTCGATATCTCTATTACAACCAACATTGCCCTGTTTTTAAGGCTGTTATATTACTCTCGCATGCAAAGAAGATAAGACTAAATTCTTAAAATTCTGACTGCGATGGGTCAACTACAAGAAGAGGATGAATAGTTTTTGACATTTTCATAGAATCGTGAATTGCTTGTGAATTTCTGTCAATGTTTTCCTTCTCTGCTTAGTTCAGTTAATGCTACCTTCCTAGCGAATGCAGTAATTAATTTTCATGGTGTTAGAATCGCTGTATTGAATTCAGTTAGTCATCCTTTTTTTTTACCCTCAACAAAACCGATCACAACCGGTTTGTTGTTTATCTTCAGTTGACTTTCTCGATAAAGTGTTTATTTTCCTTTTGCTATCACCCCCAGTCTCTTTCATCTGGCTATGAATGCTTCACTTATCCTTCTTCCTACTAGATCCTCGAACCTCCTGTTATTACGATGATCAGGTTTTTTCTTCTATTCCGAGTTCCGGAATGCCACGTTCATACTGTATTGGAATTATTTTCTTGACTTTTAATTATGTTCAGTGTATCTCTACTCCCAAATTTATTATGTGCGAGTTGGTGCTAAAATGATTAATACTGACTTACTGAAGGGAAACTGAAAATGTATTCTGTATTTTATTGTTACCAAAGTAACGTCAGTTTAACAGTACTGTGCTCAGGGATAAGGAGACCATGTGATGACTTTTATCTGGAAAAGAGAAGTATAAACTTACCCAAGAGATGTGGAAATTTGATGGTAGGAAAAAACACTAGATAAGTTAGAAAGGTTTACCTGCAAAGAGATTTCGTTATATCAAGTGTCAGGCCTAAATGTCGTGAATAAAAGCTACGATCTGTGTACAAATTCAAAAGTCAAGCAACATAAGAGATCTCCAGTAGAAAACTTTGTTTGCGCATTTTTATTGTTTGAGAAAAATGTTGGAAATGCTAAAAGAATGATACGAATAGAAATAAAACGGAGGTTAAGAAAAACAAGAAAAAGTTCATAGGAAAAATATGGAGAAAAGGGACGTCATTAAAATCGATTTAATTTATAAGGTAAAAATAAAATAAATCAAAACTAAAAGATTTCAGTCAAATGTTAACGGTCCCATAGGTTTCAGTTTAAAGATCTAAGAAGAAATATATAAAAAAGCATTTTAAAAATATAGACTTAAGGTAGAAAAATGAAATGATCGTTGTTGTTTGTTATTAAACACAAAGCTACACAAAGGGCTATCTGTGCTCTGCCCACCACGGGTATCGAAACCCGGTTTCTAGCGGTATAAGCCCGGAAACAAAACGGTGATATCTTAACTAGATATAAAAAATAATAATGAAGACCCTTTCCCCCCCCCCCATTCCCCTAGCTCAACGGCAAGTCTGAAGGTTTACAGCGCTAAAAACTTGGTTTCGATACCAGTTGTGGGCACAGCATAGATAGCCTATTATTACGAAGCAAAATAATGATGAGAGAAACATCAAGAAGGGATATAAGAGACATACATATCCCAAGTAAAGTTATAAGAAATTGAAAGTGCCAGATCATTCAAAATGTAGACAATTTTGAAAGATGAAAGAGCGGTGTGAAAAAATTCAAAGCTGGGAGAGTGGTGTGAACAAAAGTAGAAAGGTGATAGAGTGAACAAAACTTGAGGAACGTGAACAACCTGTGAGGCATAAATGGGTGGTGTGAACAAAACTGGAAAGATATGGTGTTAATAAAGCTGGTAGGGTTTTCTAAATAAAGTTGGAAGGGTGATGTAACCAAAGGTAAAAGGGGGTGTGTGAACAAAGCTGAAAGGGTGGTGTGAACAAAGCTGAAAGGGTGGTGTGAACAAAGCTAGAAGGATGGTGTGAACAAAGCTGAAAGGGTGGTGTGAACAAAGCTGAAAGGGTGATGTAACCAAAGGTAAAAGGGTGGTGTGAACAAAGCTGAAAGGGTGGTGTGCACAAAGCTAGAAGGATGGTGTGAACAATTTTAAAAGGGTGGTGTGAACAAAGCAGAAAGGATGATGTGAACAATTTTGAAAGGGTGGTGTGCACAAAACTGAAAGGATAGTAAATAATTTTAAAAATGTGGTGTGAACAAAGCTGGAAGAACGGCATGAACAAAAAAACGAAAGAAAATATTAAACTCCAGGATTTATGTGATATAAACGAGACTGTCATACGTTTAAAAGACACGTGTTGTCCCTCAACTAAGGTTGTGACATTAAGCTCAAGGAATCTTGTGTCGAGTTTATCAATTGTAAAAATGTTACTCAGATCATTTACTAATCAAATGTAGATGACAACAATTCAGATCAAACTGTGGTGGTAGTTTCTGTATTCAGCAGTAAAAGTAAAATTATCTGTGTGATCCTAAGAAGACACAAACAAAAATTGGTTCTATATAATCATCATTATTGCTCAAAATTATTTGTTGAGTCTCGATATCCCCAGCGTGTAAAGCACTGTGTAGCTTTGTGGTTAACAACAAACAAACAGAAACAATCTGCTGAATGTGGGGACTTTCAATATAAACAGCCACTGATCGATATCTCCAGCGTGTGGAGCACTGTGTAGCTTTGTGGTTAACAACAAAGAAACAAAAACAAGCTGCTGAATGTGGGGACTTTCAATATAAACAGCCACTGATCGATATCCCCTGTGAGTAAAGCACTGTGTAGCTTTGT